GCAAGTCGTGTGCATGCCGATATTATATGTTGGATTGTTTCTGATGTTTGTGAACAGAGTCGACAAGAATCATTTGTCACTGTTTTATCTTTATGTATGTGTTTTTTATAGTTGCGTGTGTTAATGACCTGGTCTTGTATTGCTAACATGAAACCCTCAGTCTCCGGGAAGACATCACATTCAGACAACCAACTGTGCGTTGCTATAGAGTCAACACAATCCTGGCCAACCTCTTGTGGAAATCGTCCATGTAAAGGCTTTTGGTTCCATGTCTGTATGTTATTTGTGATGTATGTAAGTTTGGATGTGGGTGGGAGTACATTAGTTTCGTGTAGGTTAAGTGGTGTGTAAGATTTGTCTGCATATGTTACTGTTTTGTGTAAGACTGAAGTATCTGATTTGTTATAAAAGTATTGTCGTAAATTGTGTATTTCTGTTTGGTGTAATAGTTTTATATCTGTAAGTCCTCTACCTCCTTCCGAACGAGGAAGGTAAAGTCGTATACTGGAGGAGTGAGGGTGATGTATATGGTGTTTTGTTAATAGTGTACGTGTGTTTCTCTGTATTTGTTCTAAATCTGTATTTGTCCAACGTATAATCCCGAAAGAGTATGTAAGCACTGGTATGGCATAAGTGTTAATAGCTTTGATTGTATTTCTACCGTGTAATTTTGTTTTAAGTATACTGCGTACTCTTTGTAGGAATTGTGTGATAAGTGTTTGTTTTATACTCGTATGTTTAATGTGTGTGTTTTGCTGAAAACCAAGATACTTATAAGTTTCATTCTCGTCCATGGAATTTATTAAATTACCCTGTTCTAGCTCATAATCTAAAAGTTGTCTTTTACCAACTGTGATGTGTTGTGTTTTACATTTATCAATTCCAAAGTCCATTTGTATGTCACGTGAGAATGTTTCGGTAATGTGTAGAAGGTGATTAAGTTTTATGCTTGTGGAAGAGTATAATTTAAGATCGTCCATGTAAAACAGGTGTGTAATGTTGTGATGTATTTCGTGGTTGTGTTTAATATTGTACCCAAAGTTAGTAGTGTTTAACAAATGTGAAAGGGGGTTAAGAGCAAGACAAAACCAGAGCGGACTTAAAGAATCGCCTTGAAAAATTCCTCTTTTAATTTGTATTGGGTCAGTAATAAGTTTTGTGTCGTTTAGTGTAAGTGTTAACGTAGTGTTCCAACATGACATTATGTAATTGAGGAATTGTGTAATATTGTTGCTGACTTTGTATATTGAGAGTACTTGTTGTAACCAAGAGTGTGGTACTGAATCAAATGCTTTTTTATAATCAATGTATGCAGTGTGTATGTTTCGTTTGTTATGTCTGGATTGTTCAAGTATAACAGAGTCTATAATGAGTTGCTCTTTACAGCCTCTGGAACACTTGGTACACCCTTTTTGTTCTTCGTATAGAATGTTGTTATCAGTACAGTGTTGGTATATTTTGTTTGTAATGCATGATGTAAGGATTTTGTATATTGTAGGAAGGCATGTAATTGACGTCTATATTTAGATGGGTCTTGTGTATTGTTGTCTTTTGGGAGCATGTAAGTGATACCTTGTGTAAAGAATGCAGGAGTGCGATCTGGTGAATTAAGAAGTTCGGTAAATTGTTGCGCAAGGTAAGAGTGAGTGTAGGTAAAATATTTCCACCAAAAGTTGTGAATGTTATCAATGCCTGGACTTTTCCAGTTATGTAAGTGATTAATAGTTTGAATGATATCTGTTGTAGTGATGTTTGTGTTATTCATAGGGGTAATGTATTCAGTGCGTGTGGTTTCTGTGGTAATCCACGGGGCGTGTGGATTGTGTTTAATGTCTTTGGTCCATAAGTCAAACCAGTATTGCTGAAGTGAGTGTAGAGATGGCGGAATGAGTTTTTCATTAGTGCTGTTTTGTGTTAGTGATCTGTAAAATAGTTTTTCGTTATGTTTAAATTGTGTGTTATGGCGCTTTCTGTCTGCAGTTTCCCTATATCGTTTTAAACGGTTTGTGTATATTGATAGTTTTTGTGTGAGTGTATCTCTATGTTCGTTATAGTTTGTATTTTGTTCTCGTGTGGTGTGATTGTTTAGTTTTGTAGTTATGTGTTGTACTTGTCGTGTTAATTTTGAAGAACGAGTTCCTTGTATGTATTGTGTAATTAGACCCAAGTCACGTCTGATGTCATCGATGCGATTAATCAGGCGTTTTTCCCAAGCCGGGGGTGAGCGCTTTTTTGTTGTGTGGTGTTCTTTGTTTGTTGTTATTCTTGAACCGTTACATCTAGAAACTGCAACCGCACCGCAATACACAACAAAGTGTAGTTGATGTAAGCTTGTGTTATCGTTAATGTAATTTGGTAAAATGTGATCATTTAGTGTTATTATTATTATTATATTATTATATAGGAGGTATGTACCTACCAGGACCTTTCTTATACCAGTTATATCCTTAAGAATAAATACGTGTACCATTTTTCAAAGCGTCGTGCACATGATACGTACGCCTGTCTGAAATTAATCCTAGCGATTTTGGAACAGATCCATTTTTGACCATCCGTTTGTCCGTGTGCATGATAGTTTGTTTAGAACCGTGCGATCGCTTTGAAAATTGGTACATATGGTCTTAAGGATATAAGAAAGGCCCCTATAGTTTTTAAGTTACGTAGACTATCGCGTTCGGTATTCAGATGTATCGGATTTTTATATTTGATTTTGTGACAATGGAAACTTTCCCTAAACATTTCTAAATTGTTCTCAAATATTTGAATAACTTAAAAGTACTGCCTTTTTTTGAGGCCGGAAAAAAAATTGTCTGAGGTCGACCGGGAAAAAAAACATTTTCTTATAGAATGTGGCCTGTAGAATCCATAATTTCAAACAGTTCCCAGATTGGGCTACTAGTTCAAAAGTTACAGCCCTTTGAATTTTCTTTCGAAATTGGTTTCTAGTCTATAACTTTTGATTGAGAAGTCTGATCGAAAAAGTACGAATTGGTTTGGATTCTACGCACCAAAATTAATAAGAAAAAGTGTTTTCCCGAGAAATTTTGGTGCAGTCGATTTTTGGTAAACAAGGAAGGTTGTACCTACACTGCCTTTTTTTGAGGCCCGAAAAAAAAATTGTCTCAGATCGACCCGGACAAAAATGTTCTGATAGAATGTAGCCTGTAGAATCCATAATTTCAAACAGTTAAAAGATTGGGCTACTAGTTCAAAAGTTACAGCCCTTTGAATTTTCTTTCGAAATTGGTTTCTATCTATAACTTTTGATTCAGAAGTCTGATCGAAAAAGTAGGAATTGTTTTGGATTCTACGCACCAAAAATGATAAGAAAAAGTGTTTTCCCGAGATATTTTGGTGCAGTCGATTTTTGCCAAAAAAGGAAGGTAATACACTGCCTTTTTTTGAGGTAAGGAAAAAAATTGTCTCAGTCGACCCGGAACAAAAATTTTCTTATAGAATGTGGCCTGTAGAATCCATAATTTCAAACAGTTCCAAGATTGGGCTGGGCTACTAGTTCAAAAGTTACAGCCAGGGTCTAAAGAAAAACTCAGAGCTTTAACAAATGCACATTTTTGTTTGATACTCCGCCGAAATTGTGATTAAATTTTGACTGACAGAGTAATTACAATTCTAAATCGAGGTAGGTAATACTTTCATAAAGTGCACGACGAGATTATTTCCCTGCAGTTTAGACATCACTATATGACACTTAAAGGTAATTCAGATTCCTTTAATTGTTTTTGTTTCAATCTATCGCTTGTGGTATGTGTACTCTGGCCGTGAGTGCCATATTTCAGTTTTATTTGAATGATTTTCTCTAATAGTTTCATCTGTAATTGTTGTTACATTTAATCGAGCCCAAATTAGACCTATGAGTTCTCATGCTAAGTTTTGCTGTTGGTACCCAGAGTTACGAGGGGTGGTTGCATAAAAATTTATAATATATAATTCTTTAGAATTGAGGAGTAGATTAAAGCTACCGAGTTTTCTCAAATTTAATACACCTAGTCTGTAATCTTGACCCTCAAAATTGAGGGAGCAATTCCTAGGTTACGCTCGGGCGACAAAAACCCCACCACTTCCATCTCGACCCAGCTCGTCTGCCGTTTTGTTGCCCCCAATTCCACAGGGCGCTAGCACCCAGATCAAGCATGCAATCAAGCACCGTAGCCGATCGAAACCGGTCTGCTGACAGGACCCTCAACGCCGCCTGACTGTCACTGCTTCTGTACTTGTTTATTAGGTAACCTCTATAGAGGTTTTATGGCTAATATCTCAAGCAAGTGCTCTGCTGACAAGGAAGAAGCTTATGTCAGCTATCGGTCGGTAATTATAGCCTTGACCGTTTGCTTTCTGTTAGGAACCCGTCCATAAATCGCACGAGCCCCTCAGGTTTGATTGAGGACCAGGAAATATGAGTTTAGTCACTTCTTTCTGCCCGGGAGAATAACCTCATAACCCTTCGGTCTTAGTAAGACAACCCGGACCACATCTCTTCTTGCGAGAAGGGGATGGGAATCTGAGGGTTTCCTCCCAAATCCGTCCATGCCCAGGGTTGCCTCAATCCTTTCACTAATCCCAATCATTTAACCATATGGAAGCCTTCCAAACATCTGCCTTCACAGCTGTGTAAAGGCTCTCGTCCCAGAAATCCCTCAATGGCGTGGTTTTTATGGATGAGATAGGCGAGTAGATTGCGAAGCGAATTTTTTTGATTGAAAACGCGAATCAATTACTAGGTTTCTTTTATGAACGACACATTGATCGCCTGAGTTGCTAAAACGCGAATCAGTTACCAATTTGTAAGAACCCCTTTTGTATTTGTTTAATAACTTTAGTTACACGGCTAAGAGCGTTCATTATTTCAAGGTGAGCAATCTCAAACGGAGAATTACTCACAACGTAGAAATACATTTCTTATCACCTACCGAGGTGAAAGTTGTTACTATTCGTCACGATAATAGCCGGGTCAGAAATTCTTTTAGTTATGTGTTGGTGTTCGCAGCGCCCGGTTGTGTAGATATTTTACAGAAGGTGAGTTTTCTCGCTATGATTATGGTAATAATTAGGGGAGAGTAATAATCTAGCTTTGCTTTATTAGCTTACTAATTAAGTAGGGAGAGTAGGTCATATGCTCTGTTTCCATTCGGAACAAAATAATAAACTTTACAAATGTTTACTAATTCTTATGTACTGCACAGTAGTGGCCTCCGTTGTTAAAACGCGAATCAATTACCAATTTTTTATGAACCACACACTGGTTACTTCCATTGCTAATACAAGAATCAATTACCAGTTTTTTATGGACCACATACTGGTCGCCTTGGTTGCTAAAACGCCAACTAGTTACAGATTAATGGGAACACCTATAAAATAGCTAAATATTAACGCAAACTGAATCTTTAATCGTTAAATTCGTGGCTTAAATCGCGCCCTACGAATCAAACTATGGTAATAATTCAAGTACCACGTATTTCGGAAATATGCGAGATTCGAGTGATCTCCTTCTTATGCAGTGGTTGTAACGAAATAGCCTTAATGAATATATAATTAGATATGATCTAAATTCTCGACATCGCATCGCCTATGTTTCTGGAACTAATTAAGAGAACAATACTCTATGGAATTGAAAATACGCAGAAATGGCGATCTTCAATTCCAGTTACGCACATTCTAAATTCCGGCAAGTCTAATTTATTGGAAAACTAACCAACTAATTTTTTTAAACCGTGTAGATTTCACATGACATGGAATGCCTAAACGCCTTCTAACCCATAAAATCTTAAGCCCTCAATAATTACGACTTTACCTATTTCAATAAAATTCGAAAAATCAAAAGCACCGTCCCAAACTTTGAGTCTTGGATATTTAAACGCGAATCTTAGGCTTGAAGCTTTAATCGCGAATTCTTGTTTTATACTCAAGCGCCATTATTCATCAAAATTTAGTTGGGTTTTAAAGACGAGGGTGGAACCTTCAAGTTTCGATGTATTAATCTTATTGGTGTTTGAAGCTTGACTCTTAAAACATAGGCGTTGAATCTGGGACATCACTCTTGGAGGTGAATATTAAAAAATGAATTTTTAATCGTCAATGTTGAAGCTTAAACATTGAATCTCTAGGGATGGGTTTCGAATTTTCGATCAGGTTTTGAATCTTGAATCTTTGAGTATTATAAATTTCTCAGGCTTAAACCTTGAATCCGGGATATTGATTAAAGCTTAAATTTTATAGCTTGATTGTTAATGCGTTGGTCTTCAATTTTAAACTTGAACTATCAATCTTCAAGTCTCTATCTTGAAGATCTTGAAGGATCAGTCTCTCAGCTATTATCTGTCCAAAACTGCAAGTAAAATATTCTGAATCTTGAACCTTGGATTTTGAGCACTGATAATCCTAAAACATAAATCTTTGGCCTTGGGGCCTTCAGTTTAATTCTAAATCTGGGTTCAAATGTTAGATTTTACTATTTTATCATTGAGGCACGAAGCTTAAAGTTCGATAGATGGGTATGAATTGTTTGAGTTATATAAATTTGAATATCAAGGCTTGTGCTTTCGATCCTGAACCTTGAAACTTAAAGCTCGCATCTTGAGCCTTCACCAATTAGGGATGAATCTTAAAGTTTTAACCTTAGAATGTCAATGCTTTGGTCTTGAATGGTTAATGGTTAATTCAATTTTTTAAAAAGGCACTGGACTGTCCGGTTGCTTGTTGCCACTGAGCCTGAAATTGACTGGTCACCCAGTCACAGAGTCAGAAAAAATTACAGAAGTTTATCTTCATATCGATACTGTACAGGGTGTTACATATAAGTATGTAAAAAAAATTGGGTGGTAGAGGGGATCAAAACAAGCACTTTTTCGAAATAAACGGAGAGTCCAACGTGTTTTGTTTGGGAGCCACCCCCACAAAAGTGTTGAAATTTGCATTTCTTGTTTAATTTTTTTCTCAGTAACCATAAGAGACTGGTGGCACGGCTTTGAATAGATTTTCGTGTACCTATGCCCTTTCTGATTTTACAAAAAAACTTTCAAATTTCCTACCCCTATATGGGAGTGCGAAAAAAATTCTGATTTTGACAAAATTTGGTATCTAGGGGTTTTTGAGTATGACAATCACGAATATAAAATTAGTTTTTGAAAATTTGAAAAAATATTCCACTGCTATTCTTGGTCGGACAACGAAAATGGAGATAATTCCACGAAATTCGTTGGACTAAAATTGTCGAACAGTTTTTTAAAATCACTTTTCAAACAAAAGTCATACTCATTTGAAGATTGGGCTTTCGGGTCACAAAGTGTCCCCCGCCTATTAGTGAGTAATCTAATTTCGCATGAAGTTCTATTTCACAAAATTATAACTACTAAGAAACCGAATTACCTTTTTGACAAAATTAAATTTAGATATGAAAGTCAAAAAATAAAATAAAATTGTTTTCTTTTCTTTTTTTGTTTTTTTTTATTTATCTTTATTTTCTTGCTCTCTTCTTTATCTATAAATTATGATTGTCATTTATTGCGAATAGCACGCCACTAATCAATTAAACGATCAACTGATTAATATAAATTATCTAATATAAATTCAATTTTGTATTCAGAACGTATTCTTTCTTTAATTACAAATTATTATTAGGTATTAGGGTTAAGTGCAAGAGCAGATTATGAATCTTCCACAATCTCAGAACCTAGTAAGAGAGACGGTGCTCTCCAACCAGTCTTAAGGGCCACTGGTCCTCGCATTCGGCCCCAAGAGAAGCCCCCCCCCCCTCCATCTCGTCATTCAATGCAGCCATAACGCACCTCTACTGAGGGTGAGTGAACAATCGGAACAATGACTACCCTGAGCCCTGCCGAAGCGACTTTCCCATAGGTTCGTGGAGGCTCCAAAACCTCTAGGCTTCTTCTCACGCTGCCCTGATCCCGACTCTGGAGAGCTTCCCTCCAATCTGAGACAATCTTGAATCTTAATACCTGAAGTTTTAACCCTGAACATTAAAATATAAGCCTTCAAGTTTGAATCCTGAATCTTATAGCCTTTTTTTAGGCTTACATCTCGAGTATTGATCTTGAAACCTGAATCATGGAGCAGTTTACGAAAGGGAAGGGCGTAGGGCATCTTACAAGACTTGAATTTTTGTATTTGAAGCTTGACTATTTAATATTGGGTCATCAATTTGAAAAAAAAAACCTCTCCCTTTCGTAGTCTGCCTGGACTTTTGTTAGAAAGATGTTTAATTATATTGTCTTTCATCAAAACTTTTATTAGAAACGTTTTTTAGAAGAGGCCACTTTGGAAATATTCTGTAGAATCTCCTTTGCAACGTTATTATCTTGTCAATTTGTTAGAAGTATTCCTAGGAACATCACAAGAAATCTTCTTAAAAACCCTTTTAGGAAACTCTATGAAAATATTCTTCAGGATACATGTAAAATTCTTTTCTAAAAATAACGTATAGGTCGTCCTAGAGGAGTGTACTAAGAAGCTTTCACTTCTCAGAACCCTCGTCAGAACCATAAGTCTCTTTAAAGACACTTTCTGCCTGTCTAGGAATCTTCTTGGAAATTTTTTAAGGGTGATTTTTAAAATCTCATCACAAAGTATCATAGTAATCTCCCACTTTTTTTCGAAATTCGTCTTTGACTTATTAAGGGTCTTTCTCCACTCTCATGAATTTTCTCTTACAAGTGAAAACCAATGGTAGAAAACCTAAGATTTTTTGACTAACTGCATAAAAATTGGGTCTAAAATACCTTCGACATCTCGTTAAGACCTTTTCGGTAAATACGTCCAGGGATTTTTTTAATAAAATCTCCAAACAAGTTTTAGTAAATGTTAGTTTTCTTAAAATTCATCTTAATAAACTTTTTGGAGCGTTGAGAAATATTATCGATTTTCTTAAAAACCCTTTTGAAGATATTTCGTTGTCATAAATAAATCTCTTTTCTCTTGAAGCCCTTTAAAAAATGTTAGAGGCCTTACAAGAACCTACTTGGAAACATTCTTAGAATTTTTCTATGGGAGCCTTCAAACAGGACGAATTTCCTTGAAAGCAACCCCTTTTTGCTAGAATCTACTTGCACACATCATAAAAAATAATGAATGCCAAATAATGTAATTAAAAAAGAATCAGAATTCTTGAGGAACTGTTAATTGCCTCTCGAAATTTGTGAAACCCCCAAGAATTTGTCGGCGCCCCTGGTTTTGTGGTTCTTAAATCTTGATGCCACAAGTCATGAAGTAATTTAAGCAAAACTGTAATTAGTTGAACAAAAATGAACTATTCGGCATATGCATAACTAGCAATATAAAGTGGGGTAGTTTTCACTTATTAGTAACTGTCACAGTTTGAGTAACAAAAAGCAACGGTTTCATTACACAAATAATTCAGGAACTGGATATGAAGCTCGAAAATGACTGCGAGCGTGAGGAATGTAAAACCATTTGTATCTCCGAGATTATTAAGGAAGAGGAGTAACTAAATGGATATATATGGGATAACCGAATCGTATAAATCAGGTGGAAGATTTACAACTTTCGTCTATAAAATGTTTTATTAGAGCGTCAATTAAGTAATGAAAACCTTTCGAATCGGCGTTTTGCATTATAGATTTCGCGCATTGTAAATTTCCATTTTTTTTGCCGAAAAACATTTCCCGTAATCCAAACATGCATTAATATATTAAGAGGGAAATGGAGAATAATATGACAAAGTGCTTTCATTTGCGTTCATAAATTATTCATCCCTCATTATAGCAGTGCATGGAAATGATTTTAAATTGATCACTGGATGAAGGGTTTAATGTTTGTGCGTAAACACACTGAAAATTTACCCAGACATGGCTGTCCATTAAACTGCGAAAAAAAGAGATTAAATTACTTCCGCCGAAGTTTATGGGGAAACTTAATGAAGATATAGTAAAGGGAATTTATTCACGGTTACTCACCGACGGCGGCGGCGGTGATCAGAAAAACGAAGAGGAAATGGGTCAATGAGTAAGCTAATCTAGTAATCCCGGATTTTTACGGGATAG